CCTGTAAGATGCCTCGTGTGCTTTGTGTCTCACAAGCCCAGCGTCGATCTCACACCCTCATCACACGTTATTTTCAGACGTGTTAATTGGGAGAGGAGGTTGGCATGAGCATGAACGTAGATAAGTTGTGAAGTCAGGGATCTTCTCAGAGGAAAACAGGGGCAGTGACGTTCAAGCAAGTGCTGAGATCAAACTCATTTTCTAGGTTGTGTTTCATTTAAATGCTCAGGCCGTTGACGGCCCTACGACATGAAACATGCTGATTTACAGTGAGTCATATCTGCTGCACGTTACTGGAGATGTCACAGGTTTGATCCACGCCTGTGGTGCAAAGACTAACAATGTGCCGTCTGTTAAACACGTTGAGTCTCAGAGGTGCATCTCAACTAAACCGCCTTTCGTTCGTTTACAGTCTGACGAGTCGGAACACAACCTATGATGCTTTTTGTCGATATTTTGGCTAATCTCTATCAAACAGCTATTTTTATATATACGACTGCAGGTAAAATAAAAAGCTGTTAGCCGATGCATTTCCCTAAATGTGTTTTCCACTTCCTTTGTTCTACACACAACCAACGCTTGCTCAAACCTGATCGGTCAAACCAGAATCAGAAACCACAAGCTCCCGGACCTTAAATCTTGTTTTCTGCAGATTTCACTATAAGAATGTGTTTGTAGAGATTTAGTAAACAAGGATTAGACTCAGAGTTAAAGTCTGTAAGATGCTGTTATGAGATAATAACAGTTTACAATGTGATATTTCTGTTTGCAGGACAACGTGGACCTGGGAGAGCTGATGTTCTCATTGTGTTATCTCCCCACGGCTGGCAGGCTCACCATCACTATGATCAAAGCCAGAAATCTCAAAGCCATGGACATCACTGGAGCCTCAGGTGGGTGCCGACTGACAACTCAGCGTCCTGCTGCGATGGCGAACACAATGAACGTACACACGAGCTGTCAAATCGCTTTTTCCGCCGTGGATCTTTGTTGCCAGCTTCTCACATACAGTATGTCAATGCATTTCAAAAGCCTCATTGAAAATGCCACGTTATCCGTCTGCAGATCCGTACGTGAAAGTGTCCCTGATGTGTGAAGGCCGGAGGCTGAAGAAGAGGAAGACGTCAACCAAGCGAAACACCCTGAACCCGGTGTACAATGAAGCCATTGTGTTTGATGTTCCTCCTGAGAACATCGACCAGATCAGCTTGCTCATCGCCGTCATGGACTATGATCGGTCAGTAAGTTTCCCACAGTATCTCCGTGGGATATTATTCTACGCTTTTAGAATGTGCCAGTTGTTAATAAATACACAAATAAGAAATATAATTCGTGAATTTACAGATGTCCAAGGATTAAAAAAGGACACGTTGTGAGTCGTGATGCAAATGTCTCTGTGTGTGTTTCTTTGCCGTCCTGCAGAGTCGGACATAACGAGGTGATCGGAGTGTGCAGAGTGGGCAATGAGGCTGAGAGTCTGGGACGAGACCACTGGAGCGAAATGCTGTCGTACCCGCGGAAACCCATCGCACACTGGCACCCGCTCATAGAGGTACGGTACCACTGTGCGTACAGTGTATTTCTACAGATGTTTCATACAAGCGTTTCTAAAGTAAACGTCGTGATGATCCTTTTCATGCAAACATCAAAAGGACAAGATGACAAAGGTGAGAATAGAGTCATTGAGAAAACAGACGTTCGGTTTGTTAGCATCACTTTGATGTTGTGCTTAATTAAAAGCTAAATGCTAATGTCAACATGTTACAGGTACAATTTTAGAGAAGCTGGTGTTTACCTGGTGATATATCCCGTGTTTATCATGTTGCATTAGAGTGTTTGCGTTCTAACGTTTGGCCAATTAGTGCCAAGGATAAAGGCTGAGGCTGATGGGAATCATCAAACTCTAATCCGACCTGATGATGGCACTTGAAATTTGGAAATTAGCTGCTTATCTTTAAACTTGTTTTTCCACATGTTCATAAACTAGACTGACTAAAAAGCCGTTCCTTTAACGCATGGGCTCGATCAGAAATGGGAGAGTAAATGGTTTGAATTCAGATGTAAGGAAGCCGCCTCTGAGTCGCCACCCACGTGTCCCGTTTGTTCAGCCGTTTAAACGCGAGCGTGAAATGAAATGAAGTGATTATTCAGAGCGGCTCAGAAATCAGAATACTTTAGTTAAAACAGCTGCGCAACCAAAATGCACAAAAATCCGACTGCAGTGATCGTTCTAATGAGTCACTTACACACAATGGAGCTAAGATGTCGTCGTCTATGTTGCCATGTTGTGTCAAGGTACCGTGGGAAGAAGAAATAAAATGATTACATAACAGAAGAACAGAATAAACCTGGTGTTTTGCTGTGATTTCCACAACAGAGGCACCGAGAGAGAGAGAGAGAGAGAGAGAGAGAGACGGAGCTCTTTCTATTTCTGAATCCACAGCCCACACTCATTAAAAAAACAGAGCATGTTAAAACAGATGCTGGACTGATTCATGTAAATTCATGCTGAGCTGCCAAAGCTGCATGTGTTGGTATTCAGCTGAAGGGGTCAGGAGATAGAAACGCCTCAGAACGTATCGCTGGAGATGAAAGTAACGACATCGGCTGTGACATTAGCATCTGTCGGCTAGTTCGTGTCTCTTCTGCGCGGGGTCTGCTTAGAGACGCTCGTTATGAGAGAGGCGAAGGAGCCCGGGATTATTATTATCATCATCTGTAATTATCATGTCAGTGATTTTCTTCAGCCTCCCAATTGACATTTCCATCCGACAGAAGGCCGACTAACGTGTGATGATCATTTTACCCACCGTGCTTAGTTTGCGTGTGTTTCTCCTTCTTACCTACGAGCATTTTATGTTGCAGAGAAAAATTTGAATTGTGAAAAAAAATCTTAATAAGCAGTGTTATTATCAATTTTCTGGATTTAAAAGGATCATGAGCGGAATTTATGTAATTTAACATTATAGCATGAATATCATTTAAAGGTTCAGTGTGTAAGATTTAGGTGAAAAAGGATTTTTGGCAGAAATGGAATATAAAATAATCTCAGTGATGTTTTCACTGGTGTGTTTCATCTAAATTGTATGAATTGTTGTTTTCTTTACCTTATTACAGGCTTTTTATATTAAATACTTTATATTTACATGGAGGGGGGCGGTCCTCGCTGTGGAGGCCGCCATGTTTTTTAATATCTTCCAAAGTGGACAAGCGAAAACCTTTTGAGTTTCTATGACAACTGAAGGTTACCACAGGTTCTTTTTCATGTTGGGAAAGGGAAACGTTTAGTTTCATCGAACAGAAATCATGTATGTTTTTAGTATGTAAAGCAAGAAGCAGGATCCAATCACACGTGGTCACAGGGGACAGATTCTAATAGCAGGTGTGAACTGATGCTCTCGGTCTGAACGGGGCCTTAGAGCCAGAGAAGCTGTTTCTAGTCAGTGTTCCTCCTCCACTTCGTCAGTGCGAGCGACAGAAGATCCTCATGGATTTTAAAAGTCGTCGTATTATTTCATTTACTTGCCTTCTGTCACAGTTAACAGTTTTTGGTGCAGGAGTAAACTAAGTAGTGGAGGCAACAGTCATCACTCTGTTTACCAGAGGACCTGCAGGATTGGTGGGAGGTCAATCAACCCGGTATTACCCACAGTGGGGACGCTATGAAATCTCCCCTGCTGCCTCAAAGACCATATGTGTAGCACTAGCACACACACACACACTAACACACTAACACACACACACACACACACACACGCACAGGTTCGCTCAGTCTCCTGGAGCTCTGTCTTATTCGAGGCCATTAGCAGCAGGACCTGAGATCCACACTAATGGCTTATCTATGTTTCCTTAAAAGATCTACACGGAAGCCCCGATGGGATCTAGACTATTGGTCATGTCTCTCACACACACACCCACATACACACACACACACACACACACACACACACACACACACACACCCACACACACACACACACACACAGTTTTATGGCTTTTGGAAAGTGTTGGCATAAGCTTCACTGACCCTCTGACCACAAACTGTGAGTATTAATAATTCAACAGCAGTCAAAGCGCGCACACACACACACACACACACACACACACACACACACACACACACACACACACACACACACACACACACACACACACACACACACACACNACACACACACACACACACACACACACACACACACACACACACACACACACACACACACACACACACTCTACTTCTAATCTAGTTATTGTTTATACTCTGAGCTCACTCATGTTCCCAATGAACTCTTTTGAGCTCGACCATTTTTGTTTAGTCAGAAGAAGAAATGTATAGAATCAAACTTGTTGTCTGTCTGTAACTAACTGGTCCACCCTCTCTTTGTGTTTCTGTGTTGTGTGCGTTTGGTCCAGTGGGTCGGACAGGCGGCGACAGGGAGCGGGAGCCAAGGAGGATCCACCAATTCACTGAAGACGCCACCTTCACCATGACGACACACACACACACACACACGTTTATACAGCTATCTCAGTGAGGACACTCATTGGCATAATGCATTCCCCAGCCCCTTACCCTAACCATCCAAACTAAAAGCCTAACCCTAACCCTTGACCTAACCCTTGACCTAACCTAACCCTAACTCTAAGGGAGGTCACAAAGTGAGGACCGGCCAAATTGTCCGCAGTTTGACAAAACTGTCCTCACTCCGTAGGTTAAAACTGTTCCTCACAAAGATAGCTGTACACACACACACACACACAAGCCTCAGGTTGGAAGAGTGATGATGGGTGATGGGCCTGCAGATATTTGAAAACATAAAGTACCAGGTGTAGTAGTACCAGGTAGTACCAGGTGAGACTAACCAGTAGTAACGTCCTCTAACTGATGTGTCATTAGACTGAGCTGTCGGCTAATCACCACGTCCTCGTGTGTCACAACCAAAAACACTTAACTACATTCCAGCCGAACTTTTTAAAAATGTTACTGACACGATTAACAGCTTGAGATTATCCAACAGGTCAAAGTTTTCTCAGCAAGTTTACGGACCAAAACCTTTCCCTTTGAGGTGAACGTGTGAAGCTGTGGTCGGTGACGTGTGTGAGGTCGGTGATGCAGTGAAGAGTCTGGAGCAGAGTTAAGAAAGAGAGGAGAGTTATCAGATCTGTAAATAAAGATGGAGTGTGGGTACCGAAAAACAAGCCGGTCCTGAACTGACGGGTCACGTTGGTTACTTGGTTTTCTACGTGTCTGTAATCAGGGAAAACATCTGGCTCAGGGTGAGTTCGGACACAAAGAACAGAACGTCTGTCAGGTTCGGGTCGAGCTGGGTTCACTTTCTCTTGGGATTCGTCGGGTTCTGAGCTGTCACGTCGTCCCTCTTCTTCTACGTGCCGGGCATCGAACCCTCTCCTGCACTGATCATAAATCATACGACCCAAACTCTCTGGTTAGAAAAGAACAAAAGATTTTTAGTTTAAACCTTAGTTTTACTGCAGAGAGCCAGTTTCTCACAGAACTCTTCCTGTAAAGACGTAAACTGAAGAATGTGTAAAGCAGCTGACAGGAACACACAGTGTTTGATTTACTGCATGTTGAATTCTTTGTTCGCGGGATGTGGTCAGAGTAAAGGACACGGAAACATCAGAGTCGATATCGGTGTTAGAGGTTCTGGTAAATGTGGAAATCATCAGATCTCCTCCAAGGAAACATGAATGCTAATCTTTCAGTTTGACTGCTCGTGATTCTGAGTGATATCCTGGATTCTGATTTGTTTAAATAACACATCAGCTGTCGATGAGCTAGCCTCTGGGGACCATGGCGGATTATGTTCTGACCTCTGGTGTAGATATCCAGGCAAAGACTCCATCTGCTATTTTAACGTACACAGTTTACAGTCGGACAATTTTTCTTTCATCACAAATGTTACGTACAAATGTTTGAGGTTGTTTAAGGGAGTTTAACGTCTTAACAAGCTTTTAAAAGATATTCAATTACGATGCATTAATTGATTTTTGACCCCGAGGGGGCAGCAGATCAGGTTTCAAACCGCTCTTGGATATTATAGTGAATAGACACAACGGCCGAAAACAGGTCGTAAAAACTTCCTGACGTCGAACACTCGTCTCAGATGAAGCTTCGTAGACTTCAGCGAAGCTTTAGTGTCTCTATCATCGCTTTTATTGAACCCGTGGGAAATCCATGTGCCTTTTTGATGGGGTCAAAGGGCTCCCATTAAAAATCCAATACTGAAGTCGATCACTCAGAATCATGTCGTCAAACTGAACCAGTCTTTGTTAACACAATTGGATTATTTCTATTCTACAAGCTTTGCTGTTATGAGTCTGAAGGTCTTCTTCTGTAATCGGGACCACGCCCTGCAGATGTTTGTTTTTTGAAAGTCGCATTGAAACCAACATTGTTTATTGTCTTCGTATTGGACACGTCACAGTTTATAATGACAGTTTCTCTTGTGTTTGTAGCTACAGTGCATGCATCATTTTTCTGTGATGTCATTTTTAAATCTCTTCAGTTGTGAGATACTAACCATGGTGTAAACACGAGATGTATAATGAAACTAAGGCAGACTGTGCTAACTGTCCATTCAGATGTTATTAATAAATATTTCTATATATATATATATCGAATGGATTGATTTATGGGGGGGGTGGGTACAGAGAGAAATAGAATGAGCACACAAACAACCCCCGACCCCGCAGACCTTTTGTAATTTTCCACCTTACACCTGCGTCGCCTTAACATCAATAAAAAATACACCAACTACAAGTCAACAAAGATAAACTCGCTAAAAAACGGTGATTGACTTCTTTCCCTTTGCCAGTAGAGGAGTCTGCCTCTGTTCTTTTCCCTGATGCCTCATGTTCCATAATCACGAAAACTGAGGCGTTCGCTCAGCTCGCTGCTAAATTAGCACGTTCACCTGGGCGTCGTGTTTTCATCACTGCTGATCAGAGCCGATTCAAACGCTGAGTCACTCGACCCTGGGAGCGAAAGATGAAAGATGATTGTGTCCGTTCACATTTCAGACAAAAGCCAGAGAACAGTCGGCTGTAAGCGGAAGAGTCTCGTCCTCTTCTTGAAAAAGTTATGCTGAAGAGGCTTTTCGCTGAGTTATTTTTCCCCTCTGGAGATGAAGCATTTGACGAGAGTTCCCTCGTTGTCCTGCGGTTGAAAGTACAAGAACGCAGCGAGGACAGGAACACGACTCAGTTTCAGTGTGTGCAAAGGCGGCGGGGGAACACGGACCACGATGAGACTGCTGCAGATGAAACCAACGAGATCGGATCCCGACAGAAACTGTGCCGAACATCATTCACTCAGACTGACGGCTCCAAACCACAGATCATTAAGGAATCTGGGCCACGTTTAAAAAAACGACGCAGCATTAGAGAAGATAAAGTGCATCTTGGATGAAACTCAACAGGCGCTGGAAGAGACGCAGCAGAGTCGAGCGCCACATGAGCCAATTTGTCCGACTAATTCTTCCCTCTCGAGCTCAGGAGCAATTTGCAGACAGCTGCTGCGGAGCGCTTTCGGAGAGGTGTGTGTTGCTCCGGTTCCCGTGATGGCCGCCGTGAGGCTGAACCTCATGAAAACACATAAATCACAAACATCTCAGGAAACACTGAGCAGTTTGCCACAGGCTGATCTGCGGTCAGAGGAGATTTGGTTCCTCAATAAACTGGAAAGCAGCAAATTAGAGAGTGTGGGAACTTCTGTGATAACTCGCACTTAACACTTTGAATTCTGTATTTTGACGTTCGACAAGGTGGTATAAAATTATGGGATGGATTTCTATGAAGCTGGGTATTTACAGTATATGTACAAAGAGGTGGTTGTGTCTTCACCTCTGTTCATTTGTAAACAACATTAGAAAGAACGTAGTAAATTTATAAATTCATAAATTGAAAAAAACTAAAACTTGACTTCTCTCTCCAGAAACATTTTGCTCAATAAAAATCTGCACAATTTTCTAAAAACAGAAACACACGAACCTAGATGATAACTTTTCACTTGCCCCACAGTTGGCCGTGTGACCATGGCAACCACAGAAAACAGAGGTTTCACTGGTCTCTGACATCCCTGAAATAAAAACACCTCCACACGAGTTCGAATAAAAATCCTCATGTACAACATTAAGAACACAACCTCATCGGCCAGAGGTAAAATTGATTGGTGATTGATGCCGACATTATCTGTTCCATCAAATGTTTCTTTACCTTGAACATTGGTCTGATATTCCTCAAGGTTTTAACTGACCACTGTCGTTTGTCAATTTCTAGCATAATTTATAAATCCAGCTTGACGTGGAAACAGTTAACCTGTCCAGTATAAAATTGTGGAAAGTTGAAAGCACCTCTTCTAACTTCTCTCTCCTCCGTTATCTTCCAACTTCCTCAGCAGCCTCTGAGGAAAAGAATCTGCGTTGTTACCGACGTCTTTCAGCCACAGCGTCTTTACGACAGTGACAATACACGAGCTGGAACGACCGGGGACCAGGAGAGTTGTCTGACGCTGCTTGAGATCAGACGAGCGTTTTGGAGTTTGGCCGAGGGAGCCGCAGAGAAGTATTTGGATTCCCTCAACGTAAACGCTGTCAGTTACAGTTAGTCTCGTTAATTCTGCTTATGCAGACGTGTAGGTGTTCGGCTTCAGCTTCATTTGAATACACTCCCACGTGCCGTTGCTCTGAGCTGTTTATCTCCCCGTTCCCATTTGAACAGATCACGACGGAGAAAACGTTTCCAGCAGGGAGACGCCTTCAATTCAATCAGACTCATATATAAAAGGTGGAGCCAAACACCTGGAGAAACAAACGAGAAACAAATGTGAAAGTAAAAGATTTACTGTATTTCACTGTGTTTGTCTTTGTCCCCGAGGCGACCGCTGGGTTTGTTACAGTTCTCATGATCAACCTGGTTCCTTAGATAAGAGTTCAGATTAAAGTCAAACTGGTGATCGCGTGATGTGATGTGAGAGAATGAACAGAGGAACGAATGCTGCATGTTCCAATACAGAGCTCATGATCAGGGGTGATGCTGCTCCACTTTCACCATCTCATCTAACGGAGACACGACTCGCTGTGTTTTTAGTGTGTGTGCATGCATGAGTGGGTACGTGCATGTTTCTGTGTGTGTGTGTGTGTGTGAGTGTGAGTGTGAGAAAGGGAGAGAGAGAGAGAGAGAGAAAGAGGAGGTGGGGGAGGTTGTACTGAGCGCTCATCCCACCAGTAAGAATCACTTTGGTTGAGAAGGAAACGAGGTTACTTAGTCAACAGACACACACATGCACTAACACACACACACACACACACACACACACACACACACTCACACACTCACACATCATCAGGGATGCTAATGGTAGCACTTCTCTTCTCTTCCTGTCACTGAGCGGTGAGTTGCCGATTTGTTTGTGATCCCGAGCTGGAAAAACGTGAAAATTCATCGTCACTCAACATGAAGTCGTGGAAACGTGAGCGTTCATCACACACGAGACGCTCTCACAGCAGCATCGTGGTGCGATGGTGTGAAAAGGAATCGTCTTGTGCTTTTGACCTTATCTGGAGTCTCAGCTGTCAGTCATGTGGACTCGTTGTGTTTTTATACGATTATATAACTCGACTGTAACTCAACAGTCCTTAAAGAAAATCTAAATGAATAAATAAATAAAAACTTCCTGGATCTGCACCGAATGTTAATGGATTCCTCTCCGACCACATCCTTCCTCCAAGTTTCGTGAAAATCCGATAAAGTTGTTTTTTGTGTAAATCTAACAATCTGACAAATACACAAACAGCTGCAGGTGAAAACATGACTCGTCGACTTTGAGGTAATAACTCGTTTCTGGTGATGTCATAATTAAAAACAAATCTTTAAGAGGACACGTTCAACAGGGTGAATATTCTCAGTGCTGTTCGGTCACACAGACCCTTCAGGCTTGTGCAGGTTTTGTTTTGGTTATTTTTTAAATCTGCATCTCTCTCCATTCGTGTGTGACATGTTGCAGATGTGCAGAATCAGTGAAATGGCAAAAAAATCTATCCTCAGGACAGAGAGAGATCTCAGTGTGAGACTCGTTCACAGCTGGATTCTGTTCGTTATGTTGCCGCTTGCTCGTTAGAAAAAGTCGATTTCTTGTAAATGGATGAGTTTGAGTCCAATAAAAAAAAACAAACAACATAATTAATTATCTTTACAGAAAACGTAGGAGCTGGATTTGCTGTTTCTGTTAAATAAAGGGAATCTTTAATTTTTCATGTTTGCACGAGGCGAAAGAAAATCAAGCATCAGATCCGCATCAGCACCTTCTGATCAACAAGAGACGACTCTTCGACTTATGTGGATGAGAATGTGAATATTTGCTCTCGACTTCGAGCCCAGCTGGCAAAATGAACGAGATAAAGCCGAACCCACGGGGACACGGGCTGACCGACGACAGAGAGCATGCTGGGAGATAAAGAACTTCTCAGCGGGAGGCGGCACAAGGGGTTAGGAGCTGCGTATTTACACGAACCTGCTGCTCAGTGTGAACAGTTTGTGTTATTTAAAGGTAAAGTCAGAAATATCAGCGCCTCCTGGAGACCTCACACCTGCACGGCATCAAACATGCAGCCGCTGTGCACCTGCACACGTGCGTTCACTTGTGCTGCATGATCAGAGATTATTTTCAGCTCAGATCACCTGGAAGCTCGGTCACTGGGAAACTGGGCTCACGTACACGGCCGTCATTTCAACACTGACTTTTATTTAAAACAAATTCCTCGATCACTTTACACCTGGAGCATAAAAAGCTGCAAAGTATTTGTACTAATGTCCTTTTGCATCACAAGTACATTGTATATAAGTACTTGGAAGCAAACAACCGTCTGTTCCCACTGGACACTTAACGAACAAAACTTTAAAGCAACGCTATCTTCTGCTTTTACTGAGCAACAGCGCCCTCTGCAGCCCCACGTGGTGACTCCACTTGTGTCAAAAATATATCTTCTACGTGCTCATCTCTGCGGGAGGATCAAGTTTCCAGATTAAATTCTTCGTACTCTCTGGAAAACGTCTCCATGCAGCTGAGGAAGCAACAGGAATGTGATGGACTCAGAGGAGGAAGAATAACGGTGAAGAAGAGGAGGAGAGAGAGGTGTGTTATGTAACACTCATTTCTTTATGAGCTCTATGAAAGAGAAGCAGAGGAAAAGTCTACATAAGAATGAAAGTATATGGAATAACAGACATTCTTCAATAAAACCTTCAAATGTAAATTATTCGTAATATAGTAATATTATTTTACTCATAGTGTACAAAGGTTTAAATATTCAACAACCATGAGCAGTTACCACAAATAAAAACCAAACTACTACTTCTGATAAAACCTAAATTTGAAATAAAAAAAGTTTTCCCAGCTCTTTGGGAACTTGTCGGAGTTTGATGGATCAGACGAGTCGGATCCGAGTTCGAGTGAAAGAAGGTTCCACTCACTGTGTTCGTAGGTTGGTGGGAAACAACAGATTAGTTTCTCTGGAACAGAAACCAAAGTAGATTCAACAGAACCGAGTGGAAGTGGAGCAGAATCCCAGAAGAGAGGTGGAGCTGACTGAACTCAGCTGAAACACATCAGAGCTGAACACAGAGACAGGAAGTACAACGAGACACACACACACACACACACACACACACACACACACACACACACGCACACACACAAAACTTCAGAGTAAAACAGGAACTAACACAAAATGAATTCGGACCATTGATCCGCAGACGTGTGTGGACGTGAAATAGTTTTGTTGATTGTTTGCTCCTTCCACTCTATTGTTTGTTTATTGTTACGTCAACGTTTGATGTGTTTATCCACATCACCACACTATGAACTCTGGGTAATTCCCTCTGTCTGCAGTTTAACTCGTGGAAAGTGTGCGGACGTTGACACTGGGCCTTAGTTTCCTTTTTATAATGAATTCTTTATTTCTCCTGTGGAATGAGAGGACAAAGTGACTTGTACTGTGCAGCTCTTCAGCTTCACCATACAAATGCAGTTTATTTTCCGTAGCTTGTGCAGCATTTTTCATTCTTACACATTTTCCAATACTCTCGCTGAGCTGCACGAGTCTTGGGGGTGAAAGTATCGAACGTGTGAACACTGCTGTGCGTCCTCCGGCAAACTTCATCAGTCTCTGGGGCTTTACGAGAAAAGTAATGTCTTCATTATCATGGGGACGTCCCCGTTTGAAGCTGAGAGCGTTTAACTGCTGCTGATACCGTTCGAGCTGAAACCCACGAAGCAGCTGCAGCAAAACATCTTTCAATTATTGATCATGAGCAGATAAAAAGCTACTGGACGTCTTCATCTGCTTTTATTATTCATGAGCCTCCTTTAGCTGTGATGTGGAGGCTGAGTTCACCTGGAGGCTCAGAGTATTCCACTGTTCCATTATATATATATATATATATATATATATATATATATAAAAGTCACAGTCTACACGTGCATGTGTATAAACTGTAAATAAAGATGGACGACGCCTCTTAACTTCCTCCAACTGTCCAGAAATGAAGCCTAAATATTCTCGCTGCCATCTTGTATTCTTGGAGTCGGAGCGATCACAGGACGGAGCTGCACTATCGAGGTCTCACTGATTCCATCCATCAAAGACACTTCGGCAGGCGGAACAGGGAAGACGGCATTGAACCGTCGACCTTCTGGTTGGAAGACGACCGCAACGTGGGACTTATAACCTAAACTAAACTAAACTAAACTAAACTAAAGTTCATTCACAGTCACTGGCACAAACTGAAGGTAGAAAGTCAGACTTGTTGCAGTAAAAAGCTCTGATCAAATATGATTTAAACTATTTAATATTTGAACACTGAAAACATAAGATACACGTTTGGCTGCTGTTTGTTTTACCAGGATCACTTTATCCTTTATCTCCATCTAGTGGTGACAAATTGTAAGTACACACACTTTTTTTTAAAATAATGTGCTGCTGAAAAACATGTTTACATTCTCATTAGAATAGAATTGAACTGTAAATATTACCGGACTCATCTTTGTACATGTTGTCGTGGATACGTCATCATCCTTGAGTTTAAATGTTATTATTTTCAGAGCCTTAATATAAATCACTCGATCCTTTATGAAAAAGAACTCTGATCACAAATAATAATACAATTAAACTGCATAAAATAGTTTATATTTCCAGTGACGATGATCTCTGACTCAGGGATGAAGAACATTCTCTTTCCACCCTCGAGGTTTAGGGTTCGATCCCTGAACCAACATGACTCGCTGATCAGTTGTGCCCTCGAGCATCGAGCTTCTAAAATGAATTGAACCTGCGTCAGAGAAGACGCTGCGCTTTAAAACACGTGGGGCACTTTGATGCTGTCTGTGGTGAAGTGTGGTGTCGGAGGTTTCACTAATACAAATAAATCGATGAATAACGGGCGAGAGTCGAACACCTCATCTGAACAGAACGTATTATTCAGGATCTTCACATTTACATAGTTTTTATTGTAAAGGTGGTTTCTTACAAAATAGTCACATGATGCAGAAGCAAGGAAACAAAAGAACGAGTCCTGAAAAGTGAGAGAGTTAAAGAAAACTTCTACAGAAAATCAAGAACTTTCCTGATGACACTATCATTACAACGGAAACATTCTACGATATCATCAAGTTTTCATCATTTAAAAACAAGAAGATTTAACAGATCATGATGGTGAAAGTGAGTAAAAAAAAAAAAACGATACATGAAAATAAGTTGTTTTAACCAAAGGCCCCGGTAACAGTCGTCTGTACTCGTCCCACAGATACATTATCATCTGTTGGTGTTAGATACAGTCACTTCTCTGTCTTACAACATCTACAGCTGATTAACCAAAATAATCTTTTTTTTTTTTTTATTCCACACATGCTAACGTAAGATCATCTGACAGACGCAGAGCTATCGCAGGTTTAATGCTACATCAGCTGAAACCACAGATAAACAGCAGGACAGTATAGAAAGACTAAGTTTAACAGTATAAAACATCTCCGTTGTGTCTGTTTATTAGGGAAAGAGTTTTTCGGTAAATTCCATACAAGTGTCATTTATAAGTGTTGGTTAGATAGTAGATATACAGAACGACAATAAGACTGAAGAGACACGAGCATCTACGTCCTGCAAAAAAAAAAAATAGAGAAAATGAAATAGAGAAAAGTGGAAAGAATCAAATGTTCAGTTTGGTTTAGTTTCATTTGCTGAATATTTTGTGTTTGAAATTACAAACCTGGAATCTCTCTGAGTTTCAAAACTAACGAGCTGAAAGAGACGGACTCTGCTCGTATTCAGGTTGATTTTAATTCGTGTTATTACTTGAAGAAGGTTAACCGGCTCTAATCTTTGGGCTTTTTAACTTTGCAGAACTTTTTAGATTTTAAACAGAAGAGAGTCAGTCTATTTTAAAAACCTGAAGTTCCTGTGTCTATGTTCCTCCGACAACACGAGCAGCAGGGTTGAGCATCATCTCAGTGTCTGTGGGTCAAAATGAAAAGTTTGCATCAAAGTGTTCTTTTTTTTTGCAGGACTCCGACTCGTGTCTCTGACTCTTCCGTCGTGTTCTAAAGTTAAAGTCCTGTTCACTAACTGTCTACAATGGCTTCACTAAACAGCACATCATCCTCTTCTCTGTCTTCGCCTCCTCCCTCACTCACCTTCTCCTCTTCTCTCACACCACCCCCCCCATCAGTATCATATCTAAAGTATTTAACTCCCCCCTCCTCTGTTAGCTCAGTAGTGCCCCCTAGCAGGGATGAACGTTACAGGCCCGGATCTCCTTCTGGTCCTTACAGCTGGACACCAGAGCGCCCTTTGTTCTTTTCTTCGCCATCATGAAATGCTCCTGGATTCCTCCTCCGCACGGTTTGGAGCAGTCCGACCAGCTGGTCCACGGCTGCATCCTGCAACCTGCTGGAAAAAAACCCACAAAGTGAGTTAACGCTGTTTGAGAACCAAGACCGACTCATTGTTCTTCTTTGTGTTCGGCTGAGGATCGACCCTCATGTCGTCCTGGACGAAGATTGTTTATTAATTCTGCCTCAAATTAAAGTTTTGATTTGAAAATATCAGATTTACTGTTTGTTTCCAGAGTAAATATTAGTCTGTCTGTCTCATGGACTGAAGACGTTTGTGAACCTGTCGCTGCTTTAATAACAATAATGACCATCTAAAGACTTAGAACTCTACCTGGCTGTTCCTCCAGTGCTGCGTCTCTACCCTGTTTCCCCCGCCTCCTCCTCTTTCCTCCTCCTCCTCCTCCTCCTCCTCCTCCTCCGCCTCCACCTCCTCTCTCCTCCTTCGTTTTTGTCCGGCACTTCCTGATCTTGCATTTCTTCCTCTGGATGGTCTCGGGACAAGCGCTGCCTCCGAACTGCGGCTCCAGTTTCACCATGCGGGTTCGGATGGTGTGACCTTTACCGCAGGACTTGTTGCACTCGGACCACTCGGACCAGTCTGAGACCATGCAGTCGAGGGCTGGAGGGGGGGGGGTTAAAACAGAATTTCACTTTGACAGAGCGACAGGAAGAGGAAGAGGAAGAGGAGTTGTTCATTGATAACTTACGACACTCGGGCAACATGCACTTCTCCGTCTGCTCCAGCTCCTCCGTGCACTCTGCAGGATCAGACTTCAGCATCCTCTGACGTGTTCGCACACCGCGGCCGCACGTCACACTGCACCCGCTCCAGTCCGACCAGGGGGACATCATGCACGGGATGGTGTCTGCACGCACACACACACAGTTTATACTTCTGTGAAACATCGAACATTTAAAATAAATACAAGAGTAAAGAAGTGTTGACTCACGGCACTCTGGCATCATGCATTTCTCCACTTCAGCCACCTCGGTTTTACACATGGATCCGTCTATAGGAGGCATCTTCACCATGCGCTCACGTCTTCTCATGCCGATCCCACAGGTGACGCTGCAGGGGTCCCACTCCCCCCACTCTGTCACCACACAGCTGCTGGCAGCTGTGGGACAGTCAGTACACAGTCAGTACACAGTCAGTACACAGTCAGTACACAGTCGGTACACCAAGGAAAATAGAGTCTGATAAAATAATGATGTGATTACTTTTTTAAATCCAAAAGGTCAAAGGCCAAATTCAGTGAAACACTTTTCTGGTCATTATTCAAAGTCAAAAGGCTCCAAATAAAGAATAAAAATGCACCTGTGGAGAGAATCATTAAACAGTTTGTTGGAACATGACGCTGTTTGAATAAAAATGTCACAGCTAATTAAAAATCAAGGTTATTTAGAAAACTGCAGATTCTACTCGTTTGTGTCTGATTGCCTTTGAATGAATTACAAACATAAATTCACGCCTGGACACTTTCACTCACAGCATTCATCGTTGACCACACACTTGTCCGTCTCCTCGGTGTGGAGCTGGCAGAGCGAGCCGTCCTCGGGATACTGTTTGACGTATCGCTCTCTGGACCTCATCCCCATCCCACAGGAGACGCTGCAGGACGACCAGCTGATCCACTCAGACATCATGCACGTGGACGGTTCTGTCCACCAGGAGAGGACAGAGGCAGAACATGTCCACTTAGCAACAGAGACCGGGAGAGGAAGGTCCCTCTTGTCAAACAGCTTTGAAACAACCGTACATCAAACCAGAGACTTTAAGATCTTCAGTTTTTCAGCCAAGACGATTGACGGGAATATCTGAACCCACCTCCTCCAGTTATCAGACCCTCTCTCTCTCTCTCTCTCTCTCTCTCCGACACCTTCTTCTGTTCAGTCATCTTGTAATAAGTCAAACAGCCGGAGGGACAGTCCTCTTCACAGCATGAGTGCGAGGGAGTTAAAGTCAATATGTACGACCCCGCTGTGTCTCAGCTGAACAGTGAGCTGCTCTACCCGGCTGTAGTTCATCACTTTTAACCAGCACAGGGCTCCGAGATCTCTCTGTTCACTCTGTGTCACGGTGCGAGTCCGATGCTGCTGAGAGGAAAATCCACGACGACGCACTTAGTTTTAGAATGTAGTTTTAACAATCTCATCGATGTCCACACCAGCGTTGACTCCCGGTCACAGGGACTTTGTCTCTGTGTGGACATGGAGGAAACGTAGGAACTCGATCTGTTTTAAAACTGAACCGCAGCAGTGTGGACGTCACTGAAGAGCGGAGGTCCATTAAAAGTGAGAAAAAGAATGTGAGTGTGAAGAAAAGATGCTTTAAAAGAACAGACTGTGTTTACTCCTGGAAACGTAGGCATGGATTTTTCTCTGACTCACAACGCTTGACTCTCCTGACACTCCCCCCGCCCTCCCCCTCCCGCCTTCCAGGAGCAGCGTTGCTTACCGGCTGTGGCCTAATAAAGCTGAACTAAGTGAATCATTAATAAAAGACCCAGGTATCTGGAGCTCGGATGAGGCCCCCGGAGAGACAAAGTGTTTCCCAGGAATATTAATCATCTCTTGGCCTCAGCCCTCGTCCGGCCCCAGTGTGAACCCCACAATTATCAATCTCCCACCGCACGCTAACGGAGCGCTAAATGAAAACAAAGGAGAGCTGCTCAGGAACAAAAAGCTATCTGTGTAGCTGTCGGATAATCGATAAGAGGAGCAGGAGTGAGTGTGTGTGTGTGTGTGTGTGTGTGTGTGGAGATCCTTCAGCCCGTGCTGCACTCGTCTGACTGGTCGACATCCTGAGAGCGAGGGAAGAGGAGTGAGGAGGAAGAAGACAGACGTTGACTCTGCTGCCGCTCAGCATTTGTTCCGATCTGACAACTTCACTGTAAATTGGACAAAAGCAAACTCCTGTGTGTGTGTGTGTGTGTGTGTGTGTGTGTGTGTTGTGGGAAGGGCGGGTTGTTGTTGCTCGCAGTAAAAGAGCATGAAATTGACAACTTTGATGGAAGCCAGGAAAAGAAAAGTTTCTCCAAGTTGTCGTCAATTTGCTTAAAAAAAACATCTGTCCTCCGCCCCGATGTCTGGATTCACTGCGAACATCTGCTTCGTTAAACACGTCGGTGTCGTTAGACTTTATCTGCGTGTCCTGATTAGGATTCTGACACAATCCTCCTGTTGTTCCCATTATCTTCAACACAACTATGTGAACACGGCGCGTTGATTTCTTTTAGTCAAAGACAAACACGGTCAAATCCTGTTTTAATGCAGGAGTCCACTCGGCATTAACAGCTAATCCACTTAATCTTTCATGTTTCACTGAAGCAGCTGGAGGATCCAATCAGTGTTTACTCTGTGAAATGAGGGATTTACTGAGTTTTGTGACAGAATCTGTTGATGTGACCGCGTCAGCCTCAGAAACATGTTGGAGGATCTCCGCCTGTCACGGCCTCGATCAGCTCCTGATGACAAACAGCTCGGAGAAGCCACTTGCACAGAACAGATTCAAATAAACGGCTGCTTTGAGCCCGGCAGCCACCAGGGGGCCCCAGGGGTCAAACATTATTCTGTCTGAATCAGGGTTAATTAAAATATATAATTTTAATAAACAGACAAACTGCACCTTTTATTTTTGAAAAGTTGTGAATTTGGGTCTTTAGATTAACATGTGATGTAGGAAAAGAAATGTTTTAACTTATTAATAAACAACACACGTAAACAGTTATCCTGTTCCTGTGTATTGTAAACATTGAGCATAAAATTGCAGATAAACCAGGTAGGATGAACACAAAGTTTTCTCTGCACACAAAGCGGAGGCAGGTCCCACAAACTTATCCTGCTTATGACCCCAGATGTACAGATCCGGCCCTGGTGCACGATAATCCTCCCGAACATCAACAACAACCCGATTGTCATCCAACGGCAGCACAATTAAATCTGTGAATAAACCGAAACCACCGGGCTGTGAAATGTAAATGAAGCAGCGGCAAAGACGGATTCCATCAGATTAAGTCAAAAGGAACCACCCACATTCACCGGGTCTGAGATAATACCTCAAGTTTAATCTGCTCGTTATTTAGTGGGTTCACTGATCGCCTCTGTTGACAGGAAACAAACTGAAACCATGAAAAGTTTAGAACATAACGATTGGAACCTTGTGTTTTATGCCGACAGTTAAAATCAATCAAAGCGGTTTGTCAGAACATTTTTTAAAGCATAAAATAACAAAATAATAAAACAAAACTTTTTAAATTTTGATTTGAACTTTCTAGTTTTTCCCGTGTCCCATCAACTTACATGGAGGAGGCATGTTTCATGACCATTACTGCAGCCAGCCACCAGGGGGCTTCACTTTTGTCGTCCATCTTTACATAAAATTATTAGCGTAACACGTGTCTGTTTAGGTCATTAACTCCGCCTCCTCCATGTTATTGGACGGGACAAAGACCAAACTTAAACAGTACACACTAAATAAATATTTATTACAGATCTATGGTAAAAGTATCTTGTAGCAGAAGAAGTCGGTCGTGTGTTTACCCTCCAAACTGCATCCTGGGCCCATGCACGGCTGGAAATCCTGGGTGTGTGGACACGGAACACTGAGGTCGAGCTGAGCCTTCAGCATCCTCTGCCTCATCCTGCGGCCTTTATCACACGTGGCACTGCTGCACGCCGACCACGGAGACCAGCCCGAGTAGATACACGTCTCCGGTGTGTCGTCTGAAAGGGAAACACAGAGGGACGGTGAGCGGCTGACGGAGGTGACATGGAAACCAGATCGCTATTTCATTCCACCGAGCTTATTTCATCAGATAGAGCGGAGCGCGTTGAAGGATGAGCGACTGAGCTAACGCTGATTATTTAACATCACATCCACAGGTGATAACCGCAGGTAGCCGACCACGAGGGGCCACTGAGTGACATCCGAGTGGGAGAGGAAGGAGCGGAGGGTGTGATGTGTGGATGTCCTGTCCAATTATCAGAGGTAGCAGAAGTACAGGAGGTAGCAGGGGTACTGGCTTCAATTAATAATGCTCTCTCAGGGGTTTCGGACGCAGAGAAAATGAGAGGTAGAGGAGAGAAGGAATATACCATCAGGCCTCAGGGAGGAACCTGAGCGGCTCCACTTCTCTGGGATAAAGTGTAATGACAGTCGAGGAGAACGAGGGAAGAAAGAAGCCGCAGGAGCCGAGGGGAAGGTAGAAGGGGAGTTGGGCTGATGTGTGAGTGAAAGCAGTCGAGGCTCCGGGCGCACCGCAGGGACCGGCTTGAATGGATACTCGTCTCTGTAGTGTCATCTCATGCAGAGAAGAGGGAGAGAGGGAGGGCGATGGAGTAAGAGAGGGAGAGGAGGAGGGAAAGAAGCAAATGGTTCATGACTGACTGAAGAAGACATTTATTAGGCGGCAGGAGATCCTTGTTAAGGATTCTGCGGCGTAGGCAAAATCCTGCAACCGACCCCGGTCCACTTCCCGTAAAAAGACACACAAAGCCCCCGTGAACACCAACGCTGCTGTGAACCGGTCGACTGATCTCCGTAAGACCTGGGTTATACCACGAAGAGAAAGATCTCCAAATGTTTTCATCTGAGCAGAACGTCCTCAAGAGAAAGTAGGAGAAGCCTGAAGGCACAGGAGGAGAAAGGTTTAAACGGGAGTCATACATTGAAAATGTCTAGAAAACCGGGTCCAGGCTTTTGTCAGCGTTTGTCTTTCATATATGAAGAACACAGCAGGAGATTGTTCGCTTCCACAACAACAGGAAGATTCAGGCGAGGGGTGGAGCAGCAGGCGGCAGCCACACGATGCATACGAAGGTGTGGGAAGCTCAATGTTTTTGTTTACATCCACACCGGCTTCAGTTCTTATCGTCAAAGGTTGAATGTGCGTCTTCTACGTGTTTGGCTCATGTTGTTCGTCCGTTTGTATTCTTCCAGTTTCACGTCCTGCTGAATTCTCTCTTTGGCTCGTTTGGACATTTTCTGGACACTTTACCAGGAAACGAACTCAGATACACACACACACCTGCCAAGTTTGAAGTAGAGCGAATTAAATTACAGAGTAAATTACATCCATACGTATACACACGGAGATTCCTCGCACTGTAGTAAAATCTACCACACCACCCGGGGAGTTCTCCTGAGACGTTACTGTCCGGACTGACAGGACCTCAGAATATTAAGTGTGTGTGATCAGGACAGGACTTGCTCCAGACGCAGTTGCGTTGCTCCGCAGCCGCGGGGCGCCCCTCCACCTCACAGCTGGGTGACGACAAGGCCTTTCCAGATGTGTTCTGACTGTCTGACCTCCCAGCTGAGACTCCACTTAAACCCGCTGTGTCTTTAACGAGCTCACTGGGTGTCCTTGAACATGGCAGAACACTGAATCCCTTCACTGTCTGTACGTGAAATACAAAACTGAATGTTCAGCAAATGTCAGGTAACGACAGCGACTGGATCTGTTGTATCTTGGTTGGATTCTCTCGGACATATTGATATTAGAACAGGATGATGTGCGGGTACTTTACCTTCCTCCTTCTCCTCCTGTCCAATATCAGCCACTATGTCATCGATGGTGTCTGGGACCACGTTACACTGTTCCCCCTGTGCACACAGAGAAAACAAATATGCATCTAATGGCTTCTTCTTTCAACATGAAGCAAACTTTAAGGGTCCAGCAATTCACTTTCGACCGAATCTCACTTAAAGTAGATAAAGTTTGTTAATTGTTCTTTGAGTTGACTTTGTTTTAATCACATGAGTAAGCATTTGTTCTTATTTTATTATAGACACGTTACCTTCCTAGCGATGCGTTCCACCACCAGTTTGGCTACAGGGGTGATTGCCCCTCCCTCAGGGTCATAGAACGGGCTCTGAGGATGGTCCAAGCTGGTCAGTGGTCGGATCTTCTCCTGAGGGATGGTGGGCTTGTTTGGCGACTGAAAGAAGGTGAGACAGGGAAGTAAATGAGCAAAGATGACAACTGTAATGACGATGAGGAAAGTGAAAGGTGATGAACCCAGAGGCAATGGTGTCGTTTTGAATTTGTGGCCCAACATCTGGACGGTCGTGGTGGTGGAGACCAAAACAAAGCTGGACAAATAATGGGAGTGGACACAAATACTACTCTGTATGGTTCCTCATGTTGCTGCTGTTTACTAAAAATATCTACCCTTCACTTTTAGATGGTAATGTGATAATACCAGTGTTGTGTAGTGGCTTCGTCCCGAGGCAGCCAAATTTAATTAATGCAGCTTTTAGTGTCTTATTTATAAAAAGAGCTGATGGCACCAGAAAAACTTTAAACCCCTGGTAACCTTTCTGGAAAAAACTCTTATTTCTGAGCAGAATGGGACATCAGGTGGACATGAATCTAACCCCCAGCAGACGGAACCCCTGCTGCACCGAACATCAAATCCAAATTTTATTTTATCAGTACAAGGGGCCTTTCAGTTTTCACAGTCATCTCCCCAGGTACAGGTCTCTGAGTTCTCAATGTCAACCCAAAGGTGAAATTCATCTAACAGCTCTTTAACAATCGGGGGGAAATGTACGTGAGCGAATAAGATGCTACGGGTGAAGATCAGGCCACGATTTGAAGGGGAACGATTCCCACCCCCCCTCCCGCATTAGCATTGTGCAAATCATCGCGCTCTGCGGTAAATTGGTTGGCGTCCTGGAGGAAAACATCTGTTCTTGTGTACTGGCGACCGGAAATGCCAGAGGGAAGAGAGTCTGCGTCGTCCAACTGAGGAGCGGCCAGAATAATCCAAAGTTAAACGGACGGAATTTGGGGCACGGGAATAATTTTTTTGTGTCACAGAATACAAATGCAATAGAAGAGTATTGTGTATGAATGTGTGTGGAGAATGAGAACAACATCATTTCTCTTGGGGGAAGGAACAGCAGGGCAGCGGTTATTCAAGCAGAATGTATAAAAAGTAAAAATAGCACTAATAGCTGCATTGGTTTTCTCCACCTCTCTGACCAAACAGAGAGGTGCTGTCAGGGGCCTGAACCCACCGTCGGCCGTCCCTCCCATCAGCCATCTGGTCCGGGGGCCTCGTCTCTGTTTGATCTCAGTATGTTTTATTAACATCCTTTTAAAAAAGCTCTTTAATAAGAGATCCACGGCTCTGTTTCCAGGTGAGAGTGATAGAAGTGTTTGCACATAGATTAAAAAAATTTAAAAAACCCAGAGAGAACCGATGAAACATGACAAAAATGAATCATTCTCTTTCTTCTCTCAGCAAAAAAATAATGTTTTTTTAAAGTTTCAAACCAACTTCTGGATTTAATATATGCAACAATGCTGAATAAGACAAAAGGACGACAGCTACAAAGGGAGAATGGATATGAAGTCAGATGTAAAAACCTCCGCTATTCTCTTTGTAGTTTGCAAGTTGATGGAAAGCGTTCTTCTCTGACTACCAGGATGAAAAGATCTCGGTTGAGACCAAACAAGAAGACATCTTTCACTTGTTGGAGATAATTAGAAGTTACAACACTGTCTGCGAGGAGACAAAGGAAATGAGAGGAGGCTTTGGTTTTAATACAATGAAAAGATGAGCAAGAGTCTGGAGGAGTCAGATGGGTAATGACACCTCTCTGCCTGTAGGTGGCAGTCATTTAACGCCTGCTGTGCAATAGAATGAACGACGCGTCGGTAAACCTTCAACACTAGATGTTGTATTTTCAGTGGTTCTCCAGTTTCTGGATTCGTTATCATCATTAATTATTAAGTATTCTGTGATGACATGAAGAAAGTATTTGTATCTGTCCAAGACATTTATCTCGGGTTGTGCTCTCAAAAGTAGAAATGCAGTAAAAAGGTGATCAAATCAAATCGTCACATACGTCGGGGGGGGGGGTGCTTTGCTTTTGTGTTAGAGAGTTTTACTAAAAAAGATATTTACCGCAGTCTCCCCTCAGCCGAAAATAAGCCCCTTGCTTATTCATGAGCTTGTAAACTATAAATAAATCGCTGTAGCCTCCAAACAGTGGGTGAATATGGATGAGCACCTTTCATATTAAAGATGTAGGAAACTACAAACAGGTGGAAGTCTGCTGTGATGTGGCAGATTGGTATCGAAGCATGTTTTGTTTTTGTGGTCGCCAGTTACTTCAAAGTATTGGATTTGTCTGCAACGCTGTTTACCTCTGAAACTCCACACCTCCCCCACCCCTCCATCGGCAGAGTGGTGAGTAGATACTGAGTGAATTTTCATGTCACACCTCCTCTGAGTTTCTACCACTGCCAGAAAATCAGGGTCGACTACCTCATACGTGACTCCAGCGTCGGTGCCTGCATCCCAGGGGATGAGGTCTGTCTCCAGCCTCTGCACCCAGCCGCACTCCTTGGTGCAGAGATCCTCCCCTGACAGCCCCACGTTCCAGTCCGGACTCGGCCCCAGCATGGTGAGGAAGGACATCAGGTGACGGGTGCGGTCCACAGAAAACTCTGCTGACGGAGCTGCTCGCCTGGTGATTGGGTGAACGATGAAAGAAAGAGAGGAAAAACAAAAATAAACATATTTGATTAGATGTGAGTAATAAATTAGCCCTCGGCGTGTTTGTACACATCATCATCCCAGTAGAATTGTTTTTTCCGATTCCCTAACATTCTCTTAGCATTTCTTTTGGTAATTATTTAAAAAATAGCCAGTTGTGATGTCATGACCTCTGACCCCTGTCTCACTCTATTAATTATGGAATAAATTAAAGCTGCGAAATTTCCAATTAGAGGCAGAAAATAGCTCGTAATGAGGTATTCTCTGAGCATGTCTGAAACCTGCTCAGTGTAATCACCAGCTAAATTGAGTTTCAAAAGTTTTTTTTTTTTTTTTTTGTGGAAAACTGTCTTTGGCATCTTAATAACGACGTCCAAACCGAAACCTACAAACAAGAAACAACTCTTCTAGAACAACTCTGACAACTTTACAAAATGAGCTCATTTTTCACCCTGGTGGTGAGACGGTGTGTGTGTGGTGTGTGTGCCTGTGTGTGGTGTGTGTGTGTGTGTGCCTGTGTGGGTGATACATGTATGTGTGAATGTTCTCATTAGTAAAAATAATAGTGGCACAATATATTGCAAATGACAGACAACGCTAGGAGGGGCAATTAAGCAGATGTTTGGTGAGAGATACAGTACATTAGTGTGTGTGTGTGTGTGTGTGTGTGTGTGTGTGTGTGTGTGTGTGTGTGTGTGTGTGTGTGTGTGTGTGTGTTCCCACTCTGTGCTGAGGGCTAGAATTGTGATAAGTTTCTAATTGCTCTTGAACCAATTCCAAAGTGTGCACAAGATGCCAGCGAGTGATTGTTCAGACATGTGAGAGAGAACTCACACGTCTGACTGATGAAATTAAAACCTCGGCTTGAACGATCAGGAAGCTTCTGAACACACACTGAGATGACTTGTAGTGTTTTGTGAAGTACTAAGTTTTCCTGCAGTGAGAAAACCGCCCCAGCTCGGCCGACACAGCTGAACCGTCTACAAACAGATTCTTAAACCTAGGTCCTCAACCAAAGACGGTTTTCATCCAGCAGCCACACACAGTCTCACAATACTGTTGAAAACATGAAGATTGAAACAGTGAGATGTGCAGCATGAGACGTGGTTCAAAGGGGTAAAAACAACATACTGGTAATAAATATTAACATTATTTTTTAGTAGTATTATGAGCATCTAAGATTTGTGCGCTATTTAAGTTGAGTTTCCTTTAAACCGTGAAGATTTAATATGTTAAATTTCAACTTCCAATTTGCCCGAGCCATAAAAAAGCTGTTCTTATTATCGACTCACTGACTTTTGACTAATTCTGTCATATCTCTGGCAGAGGAGTGTTTCCCCCTTTCATGACACTGACGCTGAGTGATACTCACAGGTTGAGCGGCTGCCACGCCGGCCACTGAGCCTTAGTCTTAATGACAGTCAGTACTTCATCTCCCTGCAGAGGGAAAGAGAGAGGGAGGGAAAGAAAGAGAAGCGATGTCGGTAAATGGATGACAACAAAGGGACTGAAAAAAGAAACACTGGCAAAGAAAAGACCCAAACTGACAAATTGACATGACGGAGGGTGAGTCCTTTCATCCAAGGACAGCGAAGTGTGTTTCACTTTTCAAAGGCTTGAGAACCTGGACAAAGTGTCTCTTATCAGGACAAAATGGCTCCGTGCTGTTTTTATAATAGCCGTCTGTCACTCCGCCGGGCTGTGGGCTCTCTGAGGTCTCCTCTGTGAAGTCTCTCTGGGGCTTTATGACCACTTCATGGACTGAACACGTTATAATGCGTCACATGTAATTCTTCAGCCAAACACAGGGAGACAAATGATGGACTTAGTTCGGGGCAGCAGTTGATTGGGGCTGAAGCGGAAAGTCCAAATGTGTCTTTTCTGGTTTAATAAGAGTCATTTTTTTTATTTTCTCCACTTTCTCTTCCTGTTTGTCTCCTTTCTCTGTTAAACCCACGCACACACAAACACACACACACACACACACACACACACACACACACACAAATAACAGCATCAGTTTGGGATATGCCAAAAAGAAAATCCTTTTTTTCTGGCTGACTGAAGGTTCCAGAGTCGCCTTGAAAGCCTCCTCTCTTCCCCTGGGGCGCTGTGGAGAAAACAAGTGTGGGGTGTGTGTGTGTGTGTGTGTGTGTGTGTGTGTGTGTGTTTCAGTGCGTGTGGATGAAAACAAGTTTACAAGTCGTTGTCCATCTTCTCAGCCGGGGGCTCTGCGGCCTCTCAGACCTCACACCATCCTCTCACACACAGACACACACCGACAGACACGTATCTGAATATAAACAGCCAGAGGGACGGACACACACACACACGCTGGTAGAGAATTATAAAGTGAGTAAGAAAGACTGCAATGGACAATTGAGTTTCCACTCATGGATCAAGAATGCTATCACTGCAAACTCACCATAATGTGAGTGAGTTCACACACGGCCGGGGCATTTCTTTTTTTAATGTGTTCATTCATCCCTGTGTTTGTGTGACGATTTTGAACGCTCACAATAACTGAACTGGTATAAACTCAGTCAAAGATCTGACAAACAGCGACGGAGTGAAACACAAAGAGGATCACAGCTTGTTTTGCCTCCATTTAAATTTTCACCTCCCAGAATTTCTTTGTGTTTCATCATGTTTGCGAACAACAAGTGTAATTGTCTTCACGGGGCTCTAATTCCTTGATCAACGCTCGCTCACGCTCGCAGATCATCCAGCGGCTGAACTGATCCGGGATCAGATTAATTCTGCAGAAGCGCATTGAACGTGAATGTGTAGAAATTGCTGGGTTTTGTTTTGTCTTTAACGAGACCGACTTGTGTTCCAGTGTCACTTTAGCTGCTGTCGTTCACAAAGACGGAGGAGACGGAATACGAAGGTGTAAAGAAAATCCCACAGGGACAGGATGTTTTTGGGACGTAGTTAAACTCTGGGATGAGTAAATATTGTCACACATTTTTAACGTCTGTCTGGAAAGCGGCTCCACTTTTCCTCCTCAGGCATTTGGAAACGAATCACTGCGAGTGTTGCGGAGGCTTTTGGTTGCATTTGAACTCAGCTTTTAAGAAATCCAATCGTCTCTATTTATTATTTATTCGACCTCCTCGAAATACTTAATTTAATCCAGATGGCTCGCCTGGCGGAGCTGGGGCCCAGTGTGTTGAGGCTGCAGTCCTCAGCAGAAGCCGTCAGTTCGATTCCAGCTTGCAGCCCTTTTCTGTGCCTACTCTCTCTCTCTCTTCCTTTTTGCGCTTCGTCCGTCTTGTCAAATGACAATTGCCTCCCTAAAACACCTAAATTGATATCAGTCACTTTGATAAGAAATCCAAATTACGCTTTAATTTAATTTGACTTTCTAATAGCGATGCTCTATACTCTCTCACAGACTCAACCCGGTGCTCGTGCTTTTATCCAAGCTTGAAACCTCGAACGTCTGTAACCACACATTTCCCGCTTTCTAGATAAATATTCTGAAAAAAGATAAACAAGGTAATTTTCTCTTTCGCTCATTCCCTCCATTCACAATCAGCCATTACCAGTAACTGTAAATGCTTTGCATCCATTTGAGCTGAAATAAAAAAAAAAAGCTCCTGCTCTGGTGAAACAGCCCTGCAGGTTTTATAGCTGCCCTCAGCTGCTATCAGGTGATTCAGGATGCCTGGTGGAGGCCGGCAGGAGACGCAGATCTTCCTGTAATGGTCTCGTTTGTTTATAGTAATTATTGTAATGGCCCCAGATGACTGTGATTTACCCATGTTTAAAGGCACATTTCATTTTCATGAATCTTTTTCACAAGAGAGACGACAGAGCAGAGAGCGGAGAGGGAAGAGGGGAGGTGGAGAGGCCGGTCAGGTGAGAACAACAACTGGGGGAGGAAGAAGAGAGGGAGTAAACATTAACATGCAAAGTGAGAGACGGAGGAGGGGAGGAGAGGGTGAGACGACAGAGGGTGGATCCAGAGACAGAGCAGAGAGAGAAAAATTGACAAGACTGTATTTAATGGAAGGAGAGGGTGATTATGGGTGGAGGTAAAGAGACACGTGCATGACACTTCCTTTCTTTCCTCCCTCGCCCTCTTGCTCCATAACCTTCCTTCTTTTCCTTTCCATATAACACCTCCTCCGCACTAGAGGATAATCAGACAAGTTCAGCTGTTGTCCATCGTCTGGACACTGGATCCTCTGGACACTGGATCCTCTGGACACTGAATCGTCTGGACGCTGGATCCTCTGGACACTGGATCGTCTGGACACTGGATC